AAATTATAGTATTTTTCTTTTTTTATTATAATATTTTTCATATTAAATCCCCAATGTTTTTTATTGCAGAATGTGATGGTTGTTAGCTGTGTTCATCCTTCATCAGAGTAAGTATTAAGGTTTTTTTTAAACAGACCACTTACTATATTCCAATTCTAATTATCAAAATACATTTTATCTGTTATTAAACAGTGAGTTAAATATCACTTATTGTGAATTAGGTGCGGGTGTACTGAACAGATTATCAGTTTTACATGCTTATAATTCATAAGCATTTTGCTCATTCAGTGCAGTCCTGTTTCTGTGTTTGCTGTTCTTTCCTAACCCTCTGAACTTGGTCCCAGGGTTAATGCTCCCCTCTTGATGATTCTAATGTGGGATAAGTGCAGTTTCAGACTTGAAGGGCCAATAGGACTCCTCATCTTAAGAGTCCAACTAATCTCTGACCAATAAGACTGGTCTCTTTTCTGGTTTTGAGTTCTGGTCCACATTTTTCTTCCATTCTAACCGGGACCTCGTAATGTGATCCTTTTCAGGGCAGTTGATAGTAGCATAATAACATTTCTAAATACTTGTGAACGTCCCAGAGTAGAATATTACCAACATTGGCTCTTGTGTGAGTCTCCAGGTACAGAGGTTTGGATTTTACTGCAACCCCAACATAGCTGGATTTAAGGTTCTGCCCATGGCGCTGGGAGCTCCGAGTCTCTAGGGCAGAACTCCTAGGTTTGGAGTAGTTCCTTGAAACATTTCTTTTATAGTGAAGTATTTCTAATGGTCAAGATTCCTATAGGGGCGTTTTCAACCTTTGCATTCTTGACATTTTAGACCAGACAGTTCTTTGTCATGGAGTCTGTTCTACGCAGTGTTCAGCAGTGTCCCTGGTCTCTACTCTGCATGCCACCTCCTCTCCTAATCATGTGGCTTCAAACACCGGGGGTGAAGGGTAACCCTGTTGAGAACCATCATTTAGTTAGATGGCCTTTGACCAATAACAGGGATTTCATTTCTAGAACTCTTTTTTAAGACCATACCCATGTTTTAAAATACACTACTAAAAGAATTACATAATGTCATGTTTTTCTTGGTAGAAAATCTGTTTTGAAAACGTATATAATAAAGTGCTCAGTGTTACGAAATTTAAACATCTTATCTTCCACACAACTTTACTAAAATGTTTTGGTTTTTCTAATGTGAGTCCTATTGGGAGCACTAAGGTCAAAGTCAGATCATACTGACTGATTAAAAACTTCCTTCTCCCCTTATACTGAGGTGGTGCCTATGTGATTTTTTACAAGTCTTTCTGTTTGGTTCTTAAAATAAGCACATCTTTACAAAAGTTTTTTGATTTATTGTGGCCTGGGTGAAAGTTTACTGAACAAATGAGTTTTTCATTCAACATTTTATGCTCATATTATTACCTAACATTGGTTTGCAATTTCTTCAATGTAACAATGCCTTTCCTACTTCCTTCCCTGGGCTCCCCTGCATCATTTGTTATTTCACTTTCTTACCACCTGAGCTTTGCTTTTGCGGGGTGCGGGTAGGGGGTGTGCTGCCTCAAAACTCATGGTTTTTATCAAAATTAAGGAATTTATGTCATATGTAACATCCCCCCCCCTTTTTTTAATAGGAAAAACAATTCTAATAATAGTTTAAATAGAATGAATGGTGTAATGTTTCCTGGAAATTCTCCAAGTTATACTGAGAGGTAAGATTACTGAGTTTTAATTTGAAGTTTGCACCTGTCCAATTTTGACTAGTAGATAGTACATATTGTATTAGGCATTTGATGCAGCGTGTCTGATATATTAAATAGAATTACACCTTCTTCTCTTGTTGACAAAGGAGCCCTGGTAGCATAGTGGGTTACACATGAGGCTGCTAATCTCGAGATTAGCAGTTTGAAACCAGCTGCTCTATGGGAGAAAGATGAGGTTTTCTACCTCTACAGCGTTCTGAAACCCACAGTGTTGCTCTTGAGTTATCATCAACTTGATGGCAGTGAGTTGTTCTGGTTTTTTTTCCTTTGTAGTTGTTGTTTTCTTTTATTGACCTAATTATTTGACATTTTGCATTTGCAACAATAATGAAGCTATATGATTTTTGTACATAAACAACCTACACCTAGCAGTTACGAATGCTGAGGTGAGAGTAACATTGGCTGTGGTGGTTAAGGTTATTTTGTTTAGCTTGACTGGGACAGAATTCTCCATGGTTGGGCAATTATGTGAGGTTATAGTCATTCCTCATCTTATGATCTGATGTGATCATCTTCATTTATTGTGATACTTATTTTGAGTAAGAACTTGGTCCTTTGGAATTGTGAATAGTGAGGGGTCATGTTCTTCTATAGTGTGTTTATGTTAGTATACTACAGGAGGAGAGAAAATAATGCTCATTTATCTTATTGTAGGTCTAATATAAATGGTCCTGGAACACCCAGGCCACTTAATCGGCCAAAGGTTTCTTTGTCAGTCCCTATGACAACAAATGGTTTGCCAGAGAACACAGATAGCAAAGAGGCAAATGTACAGCAAAATGAGGACAAAAACCATAGGTATGTGATTATACATAATATTAAAAACCATAAAGAAGAACTTGTTTTAGCATCTATCATCTCTTATTTCCAGTTTATCTGAATGACACACAAGGTTCTAACGAGGTTGTAGGAGTCCTAGCTGCTGTTTGCAGTGTCTTCGGATTTAAGTAGTCTTGCTATAGTCTAACTAATTTTTGAAAGCTACTTGAGCTAGTAGTTATGTAACTATTTGAAATTTTGTGAATAGTTTCATTTAGATAACTTACGTTCTTTATCAAACTGTCTGCCATCCTCAGGGAAAGAGATCTGTATAAATAAGATGACTTGGAACTTGTCTCTATGGGGCTTGCTGTTTTAAATAGAACGTGTAAGGTTTTAGAGAATTGAACAGAGAAGTATAAAATATTGATTCATTCCTAGTGGGGAATACTTATTAAACAATTTAGGGTCCCTTGAAATCATCCGTTTTCTTTGTTACTATTTTACTTGATGCTAAAATACTGCTTAAAATTTCATTAGAACCTAAGGAGTGAGAATGTTGGAGATGAGGCAAATAATCTTACTTTAAAAATATTTACAGTGAAGCTCTGTCATCCGAATCAGAAGGTACCGCTGTGAGCCCTATGAAAAATAAACACCCAGGTGAAGATGCTGTGGAAGCTGAAGGGCACGAGGTCAAAAGACTCAGGTTTGACAAAGAAAGCGAAGTAAGAGAGACAGCCAGTCAGACCCCGTCCAGTGCGGCCTCTCCAGTTGTGGTAGAAGAAAAGGAAGCAGCGGCCTCTTCTCCCGATAAGGATGAGGAAAGTAGTAGTGCTGAACAGCACTGTACAGAGGAGGAGGAAGAAGAGGAGGAGGAGGAAGAAGAAGAAGGTATTTAGAGACCTCTGTGAAAGGGTGGATGGAATAAGGAGATCCACAAATTCTTACACTGCAAAGAATTTAACATACTGGAACTCCTTATAATGCTGATGTGGGGCTGTTTTCCTGCCTGTCGGTAATTCTACTGAGTTTTCAGGGGCTGAGGGTTAAACTGTAGAATATCTGAATTGATGAAACTTAACTGTGGAAGTATTTTGAAAATAAAATTTAACTACAACATTTGCTTATTTATTTTTAGAATCTTTTATGACATCAAGAGAAATGGTCCCAGAAAGAAAAAATCAAGAAAAAGAATCAGATGATGCCTTAACTGTGAATGAAGAGACTTCTGAGGAAAATCATCAAATGGAGGAATCTGATGTGTCACAAGCCAAGAACGATTTACATGCTGCAGGTAGTGAAGACACAGGCCCTGTAAGTAGTGGTTCTGACTGCAGTGAGTCAGAAGAATTGGTGGGAGCCAATTCCAGGAAAACTGGAGAGAGCCTCTCAGAGTCATTCATGGAAAACGACGACGCCACAGAAGCCACAGAGGAACCCATGGAACAAGACTAGCTGCTGAGAAACACTTACATGCAGTATTTTACATGCAGTTCTGGTTTTACACTGTATAAACTTTTATGTAATAAATGGACTTTTTGTTTTATGGGAGAAGCAGGTTGTGAAATTAAGTACTTTATGGAATAGATCCTGAAAGAATTGTACATGTAAGAACTGTGAAGAGCAGCCCCTGGCCCCTGCTTACCGCTGACTTCTTTCGGTCTGGTCAATCAGTGGTTTGTGTATAGATTCTTTTATTTTTAATTTAGAATTAAAGTTTTTAAACTGGAAGGTAATAATTATAATTTTGAAAGCTTTTTGGAGAGTATATTTAGTTCATACATAAGCAAGAAATCTTTTTGTCTTGTCTCCTGACAGCTCTCACCATTTTCATATTTTGGTCATAGTTTCAGCATTTTAACATGAAATAGAGGGTTTCATGCTGGTTTCCAGATTTTATTGTTTGACTGTACAATGGAACTTTAAGTCATATATACATATATATAAATATATATACATATATATTCTAAGGGGGAAATGTTATATTTTTCTGTTTCTATAAAGAGATGAATACAGTGGATACTTTTTCTATTGGTAATGATTGAGTTCACCTCGTTCAGAAGACAGTTCTTTCTCTTCTTCTGAGTACTTCAGATAAAATCTGGCCCCTGCGAAACCCTGGAAATCGTAAGTCTGTTGAAGTAACCAGGTTAGACACATTCCAAGAGATCTGTTCCAACTGAAGTTCTTTTGTATACTTCTGAGGTGCCTGAGACAAAAAGGCTTCATTATTTATGGGGGGAAAATGTGCTTTATCTTGGAAATTGTGTTCAAACGTTAACTTACTATTTTGTAGAATGGACATAAGACCATCTCAGAAGAACTGGGCAGGTTCCTTGACCTTGTGCTTGCTTTTCCGACCCGTGTGAATATTACACATTTCTTTCTAAATTATTCTAGAGTGTGCAAATGTCAATGGTATTGAAGCACCACTGTACTGGAAGAATTAATAGATTACTTCAGTAATGTACCTGGACTTAAGTGACTAAAGCTTTAGGGGTGCATAGAAACCAACATAATTTGTATGACGTTTTGAAGTGAATTAACTATTTTTGAACATGCTTCTTCGACAGCCAGTGTTATATTTTTCAGATCAACACAAAGCACAATGATTACTCTAAACTCAATATTTTCAAATTCACATATTTAAAGTCATGCAAGCTGCAACTTCCCTGTCAAAATTACTGGCTGCCAAATTTATACCTGTTTCTTCAGCTGTACCTTTTGATATTTAGAATTTTTAAATTTCTGTAAAGTAGATTTTGTAGAATGTAATGTGTTCACTGCCTTTGTGAAGCGGTATATAATTGTATGATTTCTGTGTGTAAACCGAATGCTTGGGCTTTCAATACAGTATTCATATAAAGCAATAAATATTAATGTTATGAAATATTTGAGTACATTTTTATCAGAATATATGTTTTCTTTTTAAAGTTTCCAATACCTGAAGTACACAGATGAGCGCACAAAGCTGGTGCAGACAATTCCCGACACTGTCGTCTGCTGGGGCACTGGGGGCAGACTCAAGCCTTGCATTTTGACTACTTAAATTCTTGTGACTAAAAATACCAAAGTAATTGGCTCCGTTCATATTTGGAGGGTACTGTACTACTGACCGACCGAGCTGTCAGGTTCACAGCAGCCACATGATAGACCTGAGGGGTGAGCATTAATTACACTTTGTAATTTTTGAAAACCATGTGTGAATGTTCAAATGAGGCAAATTTTAAACATGACATTCATTTGCAGCAACCTATTTTGTTGAGTGATATTTTGCCAATAAAACCGATTTTAAACATTTTAAGTTTAGAAAATGATAGATTTTTCTTTAGAATATTTATGAAATGTCAATAAACCTATTCTTTAAGATCTTGCGATCTTTTGATATTTAAAAATTTTAATTACATTGCCATGGACCAATTTAAAACAAAACGATACTTGCTTTCTGTTGGTTGTAAGTTGAAGGTTTAGCATCATGACTTTTGAGGTCTGTGGTTTTATTTGTAAACTTGCAATTGCTACTTTTGCAAGGACAAATGTATTTCTTTATTAAATAAAGTAAACTAATGGTGAATGTACCAAAATACCATCACTTAACTCTATGAGAAATCTGCATTTAAATCTATAGTTTACTATTTATTAGATATTCTTATGTTGATCATAGATCAGACTTTATTGCTGTTTAAACAGATAATTGTTTATGGAATTATTCTTTTCTATGGTAGGTGGAATATCTAGTTAAACTGGGAAACCTTGTTCAACTGGTTTAGTGTGTTGGCCGTGTAGAAGTAAATTTCCTCCTGTATGCATAGGTGCACTTACAAAGACTACTTAATAAAAATGTAACTGGTTTATGTGCGAATTTTTGAAAGGCTAATTTTAGACACTTTCGCAACACTCATCAAGCAAAGTCAATTTAAAGAACTAAACTCAATGATCAAAAACGCTCTTTTTTTGGCCCAGAGTATATTATTTATCTGTTAAACTTTAGACTCTATCCAAAATGTAAAAATAATTTGAAGATACGTACAAGGAAAGTAAGAATATATTTTGAACTTTTTTTAAAGCACTGTTTAAAAAGTGAAAACAAATTGTGTTAGTGAAGCCCCTTTCAATTCTGAAAATGTAACAACAGTAAGTAATGGAAGAGCAAATGCTGATGATTAGATAAATGTAATTCAATTAGGGTTTACCTAACTATATGCATTTCAAAAGCGGGCTGAAGAGTGGAGCTGCCAGTCAAGGAACCATACCTTTGTTTGAAAAGGCACCCCAGAATCCGGGAGGAAGTGTGACCTGCCCGAGCATTGGGGTTCAAGGGAGTTTTGTTTTTGCCGGTGTAGATAGGCATGTGTTTATGCATTTGTAAAATCCGACAGCAATTTTTCAAATAATGTAAATGTAATATACTAGTTTACTTATAAAGGTACTTGGGCAGAATCTAATGCTGCTAAATCATTTAATTAAGAAAAATGTAACTTGTGGTAAGGATGACTCTTGCAATTTGTAGAACCAAAGGAAATAAAAATGTGGGGGTGTTTCAGATTGGTTTTGATGAAATGAAGCTCCGCTCTCTGCAATTTGTGCTAATCATAAGATGGATGACTGCAAAACACCTGTAATTTCATGTGGAACTATTAAAATTAGGTTTGCTGGATTATTGGCCTAATAAGAATGCTAGTATGTATTGGTTAGAATACATCTAATATTTCACATTTTAAAAATACGTAGTATACTTTCTTCAGAATTTTATTTTAACTTGGAGTCTAGATTACTTTGCCAAATAAATGTATTATTTTCATACTGCAATAAAATATAAATTAGATGAATTCTCTTTATGTGTGGAATTACTTATTCACCCACTCACCTCAGGTAACACAGAACCCGCCAGTGTTTCTCAGCCCTCTAGAAAGAGTCTCATGCACAACTATATACACAAGTGGAGGATAAGAATTTAAGGAGAAGGCACAATTGAGTTGAATGGACAGTTGTGGTTCTTTGTGGAAAAATCATACCTGACTTAAAAACAGTCAAGGCTTATCCCTTAACATCTCTCTGTTGTCATAATTTAACGTTAGCTTGTGTGTGTAATTCTATGGCATTTGAGTTGGGATCACCCTTGAAGGCTCCCCCTTCAGAGGAGGAGTTTTTCATGTAAGAAGTGTAGAGAGCTTCCAACTGATGCTATTTTCACCTCTGGATTGTTTGCTCCTTTGGCGCAGTGGTGATAGTGGATGGTGAGGTGTGGCTGCCCACTCCTGTGATCGTATTAATCAGCATGTTTGGTGGCTTAAATACTAGGTGAGCTTCTCATTCTTAGCTCTGAATTTTTTTAGTTAAAAAGTGTCTCGAGTAGCACAGAGACTTTTTAGGACTAGGAAGACCTGATTCAATGACTGCATGTGTAACATGACTATTTGCCTGTCTGAAACAAGCATGTATAGAAGAGTGGACGACTTTAAAGCACACAAGTCATTGGCTTTTGTGGGGAGGTTATTGATAAACTTTCAGGGTCCTCACAAAGGCATTGCATGTTTGTGTTCTTAAAAAAATGAATATTCAAAAAGCCCCTTGTAGACTTCACCGTATTATTCATCTTAACAGCCTTCCAGCCCAGCCCTGTGTTAGCATGTGAAAAAGGCAAAAAGCAGGCTTTGTTGGTGCTGTGGATCCTGAATGTCCACTTTGAGGGTGCCAAGTTCACCCTGGAAGCCTTAGGGGTTCAGTACAGTGCACACATTCACGTGAAATCAGGTAGCTGAGCTGAGTCACCAGGAAATGTGAATCCCAGCAACAGCAGCTGCCATTAAGAAAGCTGCCCTGGCCTATACCTGCACTTGTAACTATACATAGAGATAGTACACCTCGGTTGCTGGGGAGGACTTGCCGGACTACGAAGTGGAACTTAGGTCAGTAAATGATTGAGCTGCGAAACTTGCAGGTGAGTGGTTTGTAAAGTGTTTGCTGAGGACTTAGGGTGGTGCTGTTTTCATGTTGGATCATACTTTTAGTTTGCATTGCCGGAAATGTTCACAGGATCCAAAAAGTAAGCCTTTTGGATGGTGACTGACAATTCCCACATCTCTGGAACGCATGGCTAGAATTCATTCAAACTGGAACAAACGTTAAAAATGGAGCTAGACTTTAAGGCTGTGTTTAATAATGTGATTGAATGACAGCAGTTGACCTGGCATAACATTTCAGTTAGAAAAGGGTCCAATTTCCAATGTGGGCGGTCCTAAAAGCTCACATGGTTCTAGCCGTGAAAGTGAACACTGCATCTGAAGTACGTGCGGGGAGACCCAGTAGCTCACCAAATAGACCCGTTTACACACTGAAGTCAGAGCTTTAGGAACAACCTAACCAAACTCCCGCCGTTCATGCATACTCCGTGACCCTGTAGGACAGCAAAACCATACTTTCTGAGACCATGACAGCTTGTAAGGTCTATTCCATGGCCATTTGTAGGAAGAAATCTGAGGCCAAACAACTTACATTCTCCAAAAATCGGAGACTATAGAGATTCCATATTTCATTGTAGACATGTATCTTTAGCACCATTGGGTTTGGAAGACTTGCAAAATCGGAGTGAATTTTTCACAACTTTGTAGTGTGTAGGACAAATCATTCTGAGGTAGCCTCCTTTTGCAGCGTTCAAATGCCCCTTTTTTGAGTGTCATTGTGTCATTGTGAGGTGCTGGGGCGTGCACGCCAACTAATGATCTGTTCACAGCAGAACAAGTTGCTGGCTCCAGTGCCGTCCACTATGGGAGGTCCGGCTGATCCCATTGTTTTGGCGAGGCCATCGCAGTGAGGGTCCGCCTTTCTGGGGCTTGCCCCGGGAACTGATCTCTACTGACAACAAGTCCGAAGTAAGCAAGACAAAAGTAAGTGCTGAGGAGCGTTTTGGCTCTACCGCTACAAAACATTCGTTGGTTCTGACAGTGTGCTCAATATTCTTCAAGACAGTTTCAAACGCGCCCGTTCGTTTTGTGAAGATAGCGGCTCTGGCTCAGCGGCTGTCCACAGTGGAGTGAGACTGCTGGTCTTGAGCCATCCTCACAATTGCCATGTTTGGGCCTGTGGTTACAGCCAGTGAGTCAGGCCATCTCATCAAGGATCTTTCTCTCACTGCTCTTCAGCTTTGCAAAGCACGGTGCTCTTCCAGGCACCGGTTTCTCCTAATGTGTCCAGAGTACGTGAGACCCAAGTATCACCACCCTGGCCTCTAAGGAGCATTCTGGCTGTACTGCAATCAAGACAGATTTATTTGTTCTCTTGACAGCCCATGGTACTTTACTATTCTTGCCAGCACCATCATTCAAATGCCTCTACTCTTTTCCTGTATGCCTTACCCCATGTCCAGTTTTCACTTGCATAGGAGGCACTTGAAAATATGGCGGCTTGGATCGGCTGCACCTAGTCCCCAAAGTGTCATCTTTGCTAGTTAATATTTCAAATAAGTCCGTGTAGCAGATTTGCCCAATGCAGTAGATCCAAGTAATGTGAGATCTTGGACAACTTTAATCTTTTCACCATTTATCATCATGTTGACTAATTTTTCAACTGTGAGGATTTTTGTTTTCTTGGTATTTCAGTGTAGTAGGTGAGAGTTCATGGCATTGCTTTAATGTTTTTCTTTAGTTGGTAAAATGAAATATTGAAAATCTTTGGGTGGGCCTGTGCCAGATATTGAATGGCTACACCAAAGCCGTTACAATGTTCCCTCTCCACTGTCTGCCTGTACTGTGGGAAGCTGAAATAATGGCTTCCAGCCTGTAGGGGCAGCTGTCAAAATGCGGCTCTGCTCAGTGTTCTAGGAGAATGTGCTTTTTTCTTGGCTTTTTGCTCTTTGCCTTTACCTTTTGACCCCCTTCCTGCCATCTTCCTCCCTACAACTCAACCCCAAGCCCTTTGTTGTTTTAATTAATATTATTTAAATTAGTTTTATTGGCACACAATCCACAGTGTACAATTCAACAGTTAATTCATATCAAGAAAAGTTGTACAATCATTAAAACAGTCAATTTTAGAACTTTTTTCTCATTCATTGTTATTAGCTCCCCATTTCCCCTGCAACTGTCCCTGCTGTAACCCCATTAATCCAGTTCTTATCTTGAATCTTATATACAAAAAAACAGACCAGTCCCCTCCCACCCCCCACCCGCCCCCCAAAAACCAAAAATTGAAATAAACACAGAGAACCTCAATCTTTGGACTGAGTAAAACTAGAGAATATTAAAAACCAGAGCAACTTGAAAA